AAGTGTATGAAAGCATCACGTGACAAAAAAAAATAAAATAAACCAATTAGATGGATTTAATAATAACAAAGTGTAAACAAAATATGTAATGTACTCCTCTCAACCAATCAGCATCCAGTAATTTTGTCATGCTAATTAACTAATATAAAATATATAAATATAGGAAAGAACTAAACTACTTATAAAAATATGTACATGCAATATATGAATTTATGAGATGAGAGACTCACTCGGAGACTGTGCACTGGATGTTTGGACGGGCATGTTGTTCCACAAAATTGCACCTCAATAGCTAAGACTTTTCTTACGAGATTCTGACAGGGGTCTAGGGACAAAAAATTTATGATTTGCCACACGTAAGTTGTGTTCGTGGGGGAGAAGACGACGTGGGGATGAATTTATTGGTTAAATAACTAGGAACCATAGTTTCTTAAACTGTGGGGCACGCCTGTCTTCTAGATTAGTCCAGTTTAATGATTTTAAAATTTCAGATGAGCGAGCTAGTGTAATAATCGGAACCAGTAATAATTCGTGCAGCCCTGTTTTGCATTCGTTGAAGCTTTTATCCTAGACCCTTAGCCAGATTATCCCAAATAGCACTACAATAGTCAAAATGTGGCTGAATTAAAGAATTATAGATTAACGCAAGGGCTGAAAGTGGGAGCAACGGTTTTAGTCAGTGGCGAAGCCAGCCCGACAATTTGGTCATGGTATGCAATTTTAAATTCATTATCATTATTCATTTCTTTAGAAATTGATTGTTTTCACGGTGTATGAACACGGAAATATTTGCATTGCATGACCAAATTGTCGGGCTGGCTTCGCCACTGACTAAAACCAACTCCCACGTTAAACCCTCGTCCAATTCCAATTTTTCTTTTCATATTTTTCGTGTAGGAACTCAAGAAACGAAGAATACAGTGATGGTCACCCCAAGTGCAAGCATTGCTGCGCCGCCACCAGTTGTGACCCCTCCTGTCCAAGAACAAACTAACGTGCGAACTCTTACATCAACAGCACCACCTAGGAAATACACAAACACCGTACTGGAAGTGAAGAGATTGCCGCCAAGTATGAATAATATCGCTACGTTAAATGGATATTTTCAAAGGTTTGGAAAAATTGTAAATATTCAGGTATGGTTTCTTCTGTGTTTCTTTCTTGAACGTTCATGTCCCCTCACCATACAGTGTTATCTTCTTCACAATGGACGACTCCGGCTATAGACGAAATTTTTATCTAAGCAGGAAGAACGAAACCATTACCATGCGTAGCTGGAGAAACGCATCTTGAAATGAGTAAAATTGCAAAGTTTGGTCGCGAATTGTTGTAAAATGAGGAAAATATAGCCCTCTGAAGTTCGCAAATTTTGCATATATTTGTATAGTACGCGCGTGAAAAATAACCATTCTTGAGCCGAAAGTATCCGACTAACTACAGCAACGCAGTTAAGTTAGGACAGTTAAGTTAGTTAACGCTAACTGCAGTTAACGTTTTAACTACGTTTTTTTACAACCGGCCCCAGATCCGCGACATCGACGACGCGGTGTGGAACTAAGTCGCACTCTGCCGGCAATGCGATGAAAAATCCAAGGAAAAGCAAAACAATAGATACTTTCCGAAAGCTTGAAATTGAGGCGGACATACACATCCATTGTAACCAAGTAGTTTTCATTGCCAGCCGACAAATTCGGGAAGTGTCTATTGAACCACAAAACTATATAATACTTCAGATCAATAGGTACATGTTTTCCTTATTTGTTTACAGGTTTCTGCATTGGGTCAACCTGACGTGGCATTAATTCAGTTTTCGACTAATTTTGAGGCGCGCAAAGCAATATCTTGCGCAGACGCAGTTCTTGGGAATCGTTTTATCAGAATATTTTGGCACAAATCTGAAGCTGATCAACAAAAGGTAGGATCTATACATTCCTGTACCACACCTGATCTAATGGCGGATATATATATATATATATATATATATATATATATATATATATATATATATATATATATATATATATATATATATATATATATATATATATATATATATATATATATATATATATAGACCTTATTCATAAATCGTGATCGAGGCCTCGTATCCTAGGAAACGGGGAAAAACGCGGGAAAATTGACAAAATGTTTCTTTTGCTGTCGGCTATGGCAGCTTTTTATCGTCAATATTACGGCTTTTTTCGAAAATAATATCTATAAAACTGAGTTTGAAAGTTGAAAAAAATACTTATGAGAAATATAACATGATATTTAAAGCAAAAGATGCTGGAGTCAATTGAAAAAGGAAACCTTTGACTTTGTATCATTGTGGTAGTTTGTATGGCCAAAACAAACAACCAACAAGGCTACAAAACGTCTATGCAATACCAAAATCGTAAGAAATATGAAACTATTGTTGAAGAAAAAAGATTACAACTCACTCAGGTAATGTAGCCTTCATTTTTTAAACTTGTAAGCTGCTTGCAGAATGTTATCGAGCCACAGCCATAGTTCATATTTTCCCGTACGAATCAATGACATTTGACGTTCTCTTGTGATTTTTGACCTGTTGTTTTCTTTCATATTAATTTCAAATTCGAAAAATTATACTTTCATTCCATAGTTGTCTTGATTTTTCACGGAATAACCTTTATATTGACGTTAAAATCTCAGTAGAATGCTGTTTTTCGCTTCTGGATAAACACTGTCGCTACGTTGTCATTTTTTCCACACAAAAACGGGAGAAAAACCGGTCGCTTTTATAATATACTCGTTTCCCGCTTTCGTTGTGGGCACAAAGTCTTAAAATACACACAAAAATCGTTATAAATCGCAAAAAGCAACAAGAAACAAGCCGTTGAAGTCGATATATAGCATCTGAATTTGGCTTGTCAAGCAGTTTTCGCTTGTTTTCCCGCGTTTTTTCCCCGTATCCTAGGATACGAGGCCTCGTCACGATTTATGAATAAGGTCTATATAATTGAAATTTTGAAAGAGATTTTGAAATCTGTAAAACTCTGTTTAATTAACCATGGCTAATTAGTTCAGGAGAACTGGGTTCGAAGCATAATTTATACATGTAAAGTTTTCGCGGAAGTGTAGGGGTCGGCCTCGGTCAGCACACTATTTACGAATGATGCACATATATATTTTCTATGATTTTAGAACCAAACCACTCCTTCCGAAAGCAGCCAACCTGTTACCATAGCTGCCACTATAAAGCCGACGGTAATTGAAAAGGTAAGATAACAATTTTCATTGAAGATATACTTTAATATTAAATATGCTTCTGTGCCATCGCTGCTCGCTTCTTTTCACAAACTTCGCTTTACAGTGCAAAATGAATTGTTTTAATACGACTGATAAACTGTCTGTGATGGTTGATGAGATGTTATTTTTGCATAAACTAGCTTCTAATAGCATAAAGGAGAATAACTGCATAAAAATGGTCAAATTACAAATTAGTCATACTATCAGTTCGAGTAAACATGGTTCAACTGACCACAGAGCAAAGAGTTTTTACTGTTTTACGCGCTGCTTTAAATTAATCGGTACATAATTCATATGTTGCAGCCTAGTCCCAGGCTCTCTCTCTGTACGCTGCTTTGATACATTTATTAAATAACTTTTATGCCTGGGTGTGAAGCACCTTCAGCTGTGACGTCACACCTAGGTCCCAGTCTCGTACTATATCCGTGTTTTTTCTCGCGCTTGCTTCGAAACCAAAAACTTTTAAATAACTTCCATGTATAAAATTCGATTCAATTGTTTTTACGCACTCATAGGTTCAGTATAGCAAGGTGGATTTCTAAAAGTTCACCTTTTTTTTTGGAGACACCCGGTATAACGGCGAAAGGAAAATCAACAACATATTCATACAACAATTGTGTTTCATGACAAAACACTAGAATTTAAAATCAAAAGAACCTACTTAAATGGTTTCAGCAACATATCCTGTTGCCTGTTGTGTATTTTTCTTCTCTTTTACGTTCTTTATTTTAACACAAACTTGGAAAATCGTAGTTTATAAACTTGCGAATTGTGCATGCTGCCATTTTGTTTATTTATGTACGTAGCCGTTCAGGGCGGGCAACAATTTTTTCACTTGTTGCTCGGCGGGATACGTAAAGCCATGCACGTGACCACAAATTAGCCAGTCACGTTTGGTGTTCACCCTAGCTCTATATAACA